CTTCTCACATTACATAAAACTTAGAATTTTTTTTCCATTCCAATATTCCGCTGAGCAGGTGATGAGACAGCACTTAAAGTTCTTAAAGTTGTAACTAAAATTTTCATTGGTGCCGGCACCGGGAATTGAACTAAGGTAGCCTTAGTATATTTGATTGAAAACAAGCTGCCGAGCTATCACGATTCAGACTAATTACTAATTAAAAATCTAATAGCACCATTTTAATATCAAAGACACTCTAATTCCAAAGTAACCGTGTCGAGTAAAAAATATAAACTTCCCAGACTAAAGATGTACAGTCTGCCGCGAATGTCAAGTAGGTCAAGATGATTTTAACGATCTAGCCGCTTCAATATCAAAGGTGACTCCGACGTGCAAGCTTATATTTTATGTTATTTCATAATTCTTTTTGAGTTCTTAGTCTACAGATGAGATAAGATTTAATCACTAGTACCTGGAGGTCGGTTTGTTTTTTTTTGGTAAATCGTGTATTTTGGATATTACATTTAGATACAAATTACTAAGTAATGTAGAAAGAACTTTAAAAAAAAGGGAAAAAAATAACAAAATAACAAATCGACAAAAAATAAAAGATAAAGAAAGCAATGATCTGGTATAGAAAAAAAGTTAAAAAAATAAGTGTGTAAATGATCGTGATACGAACCACGGCCGTCTGTTTTGGGGCCGCCCGATTACCGATCGAGCTATAATGACATTTTATTTTGCGGCGAAATTTACTGTCATATTCGAATGATATTTTTCATTCCCTGAAAAAAGGCATAAAAGGACGTTTTCTAAAAATGAAACCTAGCTAGATCGATATTTCGCCCGAAAATTCTAACCCGCCTTCCCGCCCCGAATCTACGCACATACTAAATTTCATGAAAATCGCTGGAGCCGTTTCCGAGATTCTTATATATATATATATATATATATATATATATATATATATATATACAAGAATTGCTCGTTTAAAGGTATAAGATATGTAATATACTTAAATTCCAGGACTATCTTAATTTTCACCTATTTATAATTATTATAACGACAGAATTTTATAAATCTTTTTCATAAAGACAACCGATTTATTTCCTTGATGCAGCTACTGTACATCATGTTACGGCCAAACGAGAACAGCAGCCTCACGGAAAACGGCGCTCAGTAATAGTATTTACGATTTTGCGTATTATCAGGTGAGCAGGGCCGGATTTAGGGGAGGGCAACCGTGGTTTAGCCCCGGGGACCCCACAAAAGAGACTTCGGAAAAAAAATTCAAATTCCGAATCTACTAAATACTAGTAAACAACTTTTCCTTTCTTAATAAAAGAATCTATACTTTGGTTCACAATAAATTATTTATTGGAAAACTCGAGTGAAAAAAATTGCTCATTTTATTTGGAAAATAATTTGGGGCCAATGGGCCTCCACTCCGTTGTTGCCTCGAAGCCACCAGACCTCTAAATCTGGCCCTGCAGGTGAGTGAGGCAACCAGAGATTCCGACTATTGGTTGTTGACAACACGCGTGCAACACCAAGGCTTTTATAACTCCTCCTACTTCTCTCCTATCCTTATCTTCATGTGAACCGTCATTAATCGTCAATTCAAAATAAAAACCCAAACAAAGCTAAAATGGATCAGGCAAATGAAAGAGACAACTGCAGTATTTTCATTTAATCATAATTTCAACATGGTTAATTTTTATTTTTGTATCTTAGAAGAAAATCATATTTCGTAGGTCTCACTTGAACGTTTTATTTACATATTTTACAGTTGAATATAATTATATACCTTATATAATTACCTGATGACGTATCATGCCCCAGACATAGTTGTCATATGCACTCTCTCACTACAAATATTTAAAATGTACATTGTATATCGTAAGGTTTAAATTTGATCTAACAACCTTTTACTAATAAAAATTATGAAAATTATTGCATTTTCTCTCTTCTATGTACAATGTCACACAATTTGAGAAATAACCATCAACAAAAATGAAGAGGAAGTTAATTGAGTAATCCTTATTTTTTTGGCTTTGCTTAGCTTCGTGCTGTAAAGTTTACAATTATAACAGTTAAGGTGGTAGGCTTTAAAACAATTAATACCTTTTCCATTTAAGATATTAATGGCTCTGCTAAAAGATGTTTGGTCGATCTTATAAAAATATTGGTCCTTAAATGGAGCTACCATCGTCTAATGAGCAATGTATGTTGAAATTCAGCAAGGATATTTCACAAAAAAATTCAAAAAACAGCTCATCAACATATCAATAGTAGATAATACATATACATAACTGCTATTGGGCAAAGGCCTCCTGTTCGGAGGTTATCTGGGCATAGTCCACCACGAGGCGCCTTGCGTATAGGCGGACTTCACATATCTTCGAAAAACATTTTTTGTTATTTTTTCTAAAATTACACTCAGGTTTATTCACGATCTTTCCCTTCACCGCAAACAAATGATAAGTAAACTTAAAATGAACTGTTGCTGTCAACAAGGATCGAACTCAGTTTGCTCGTGTAAATGGAAATACCAGCGCCCTGACACTAATGGCTTCATTAATGCTTGTCTGTACATAATATAAATAAGAAATATAAATTAAATACAAGCAATTTCTTAATAAGGGTAAATGTAGACCGACCGTGGCAGTCAATAGAAATCAATTACATTATCTACATGATTGCCCCAATATTTATTGGTAGTGTTATTGAGCGGATTTAATCATTGAGATGGCAGCTCTTTTCTCTCTCGCTCGCAGAAAAAGCATTAGGCGAGCTAATTTAAAAACTGAATCTTCCAAACACTATGCGTATTTATATTTGTTACTTATTGAAATGGTGTTATTTTTTAACATAAACCAATGGTTTAGTAAAATGCTATTCCTTCATTAGTTATAAAGTGCAGTTATCTAAGCTTTTTATGTGATATTATTATTTTTAAAGCACTAATAAAGATTATAATTTTGGCAAACATATGCACATTAACGAAGGAACGCGGAAAATATTATTTTGTTTATCTATATCTTATATGCTATATTTAACTTGAACGAAAATTTTGTTTTAACTACGAATTATGAAAGAAAATACATCACAGAAAAAACATAAAAAAAACAATCGATCTTTCGTCAAGCTTATAGAGTTACATTTAATTTAGTTCTTTCATAACGACTGATGTAAGAAAATTCTAAATAATAATTTCGCTGATATATTCAATTCAACATATAATAACCAAACAGTTGGTTGGTTACAAACCAACTGTTTGGTTATGCGGTAGGAGAAAAAAAATTTGAATATTATCAAAATCTTAATCTATCTGCTGAGATCTAATGAAGAAAATACCCATTTACACTTAATAAAATTCTCTCTAAGACTTTGTACCTGAAGTTAAGATGCAAATGGTTAAAGGTAATGAAGAAAATGTAAAATTCTTTGTAAGCTATGGCCAAAAAGCCTTTGCAAAGAACTGTTTATTTAAATAACTACATTTCAATATTGTCTTTACGATTTTAATGCTAGAACTAATGTAACTATCACCATAAATTTTTTTTTAATGCGATTTGTGCGGAGCCCACAGTATGTTTTACTATTTTGCCAGAGTTTTTTTAGCATGTTTGTGTTATCAAATTTTGTATTGTTGCCTCTTGAAGAGATAATATCTAAATTTTTTTTAGTAATTTCTATTTGAAGTATTAAATTCCATCTTTAATATTTAATTTATTAATTTGAATATTTTATCACCTAGCATCTAAGTTAATGTGTCACCCCTTTTAATGTCTATTTAAGTTTGAAAAAAAAAAAAAAACCTTTTTAAACCAAAATTTAAGTCTAAGCATATAAATAATTCTTATGTTAAAAATGAACTGTGTTGCCATAACTTAAATTAATTTATGTTTATATGTCCATCAATATCAAAGTTTAAATTTCTTAGTCGTTTAAATTTTACTGTTTAAGTCCTCTTGCTATTTATAACAAGTAGACAAACTTTAAAAAAAATATTTTTTGTGACTTTTTGATTAAAAAATTTTGGAAAGGTGATTTTTATCCATATGTTTTACATTTGCATACATACGTACAACATAGTATCAAAACAGCTACCAACACTGCCTAGTTCTATTCTTTGTTTCCTCATTTGCATAAACCATTTAATCCTAAATACAATTCATTTTACAAAAAAAAAAATACTTCAGCGTTTAAATATTACACGTGGATGAGAAATTGTCCTAATTTAATCTAACATAGTTTGGCCTAGCATATTTCTGACCAAGTGTACGCCTTTAACAAATGCTTATTGAAAAAAAAAATATCTTCTTTCTGATAAAACATTTACTTTAGGACATTCATGTAATGCAATATAGCTTGAAACGATAATTTTACTATTGTATTGCTTAATGTGAAAGTAAAAATCTAATAAAAGCTAAAGGAATAAATATAAATATTTATCTAGCGGATCCCTAGCCCTACAATTGGCGTAATGAAATTGCATCACAAAATCTATAATTATATAACAATATGTACACATCCAAGTAATTAACAAACATTATCTATATATATAACATTAAGATGTTGAATTTAAATATAAGCTGATACTTTAAAACGTATAATGTCACTAATGAAGCATCAAGCTGGAAAGAAATCTAACATCATACTTAAGACGCCTTTCGAAAGTTGCGTCATAATTTGTTAAACATTAATTCTATTACATAGTTATTCATCTCCCATATTTAATTTATAAAAAGAAGATAATTTCTGAAAAACAAATACATTAACGCGACAGATCTGTCTTTCAGGATGTCAATGTTCCTACAGCGCAGTCATAATCGCAATGTTCTGTTCACCGTCTAATGTCGGGTCCAATAAAAAGGGATTCTCATCGGGAACTATATGAATATCTGAATGAACACAATAAATCGCTACTTAAAACTTCATCACTCGCTAAATCTACGGTCAAAACTGGCTTCAACTGGCGCCGGAGCCGCGTGGGGCTCTTCGGTCGAGGATCAGCTGGGCTGCTCGTCACTCTCGCGGTGGACTAGCACTCGGACGACTGTGGAGGGCGCTGCGGAGGGCGGGGCGAGCACTCGGACGACTGTGGGGGGCGCTGCGGGGGGCGGGGCGGCATCTGGCGAGGCCTCCGTCACCAGGATGCTGACGGAGCTGTTGGCGTGGGGCGAGGGCGTCCGCGCTCTCGCGGGTGTAGTGGCCCGCCGCGCGGAGTTCCGGCGCGACATTATCCGAAGTGAACCTAAGACGGGTGACGCATTAGAAAGACGAATTAGAACGAACATCCGCCACCGTACCCGCACGATACGGTCGGACTTTCGTGGCACAAAAGCAACAGCGGCAGGAGCAAATTAAAAATTAAAATATATCGGCAAAGTCGTACAAACATCTTTAACTTGTAAATATTTTGATGCATTGAAAGTTTTCACTTTATTTAATTGAATGAAACAAACGAAACTTCGGATTTATTATTGTTTTTTTCTTCATTTACTGATTAATTATTAAACCTTTTACATACCTTTACTATTAAGTTCGAAATCACTTAAGGTTTATGTATCCTTATTTAGAATATTTTAATATTGATTATTCATTGCAAAATATTATATTTTTTAATTCTTTCACTAATGCAGCAGACTTATGTCCTACCTCAGCACTGACTGCACCAATCTCCATATATTTTTTTATGTGAAAGGTTCACCTGATGTTAAAGAATTAGATTAATATTCTGCCTCTAATAGACATCTTTGGCAACTAAGACGTTGCAGCTTTTAATAAAAGTGCCCCGGTTACCCCACTCACACGAAAGCGAAAGTATAATGCTTCCACTTTATAGTGGTCTCTTGTTAGGCTATAATATTGCCCCGGACAAGCCAGCCCATTCGTGTAACAAATTTACTGTCTTACCTTTAGCTGCCATAGTGAAAATTTATACTTTGAAATTAGTATAGAAGTAAATGTATGAAAAAAATATATCTTTATTATTTTCTATAAATACACATTTATTTTACAATATTGTCATAAATATAAAGTAATTTAGCAAGAAACGTCGAAAGCATACGTTTAAATTAGATAACACATAATTATTGTATTCATGTAAAAAATAAATAAATTGTAAACTATTAGAATCATAACTTTATCTTAAAAAGAGAAAATAATTATTAATGTGACGTAAAGGAACATATTAAAAAAAGCGACCAGTGAAGTGATTACAGAGAGAAATAATGTAAGGAACCACTCACTAAGAAACAGAGCTGGCGGTTGGCGATCCTCCTTTATTCTGCTCTCAATTTGCTTTTCTGGGATGTGGCAGATTAGATCACAGTCAGAACTATCACTTACCAACGAACATCATCTCATCCAATTAAAATTTTATGTCTAGTTAATATAAGCCAATTAGTTTTCCAAATAAAATCATTCAGCGTCCACACATTTCTTACAGTCTGCCAGCCACTTGTTTCATCATGCCACTATGTACTAAAAGGACTATTAGCGAAACACATTATGCAAGAAACATACATGCAAAGCTCTAACACAGGAGTCTGGAAATTACAACACATCATATTAGATAATGGACAACATAGTTGATAAACATTTCCGGAATGTGTAATGGGTTCGGGATATTACATAAATTCATTTGAACAACAGCCAAAAAACAAACCGAACTATGTTTTCTTTTCGCTGACAGACCGAATGAATTTATACATGAGAAGCTTTCCACTAAGTAGCTTGGAGGAAAAACAGTATAGATATTGTTGGAGTATTTTCATATTGTCTTGAAGGAATCGGAATTGCTTTGATCGCATATTTGTGTCGTATTTTGTAATATTTCAGATTTTTTGTTGTCAGAAGTTATTTAATTATAAATGATTATTTATATGTTACGATCCATCCCACACAGACAGCATTAAAGGCCGCATTTATTATTCGTTTATGACCTTTAAATTGCTCCATTTAATTTAAAGTGCACCAAAATTTTGTCTAAAGATGTTCACGTGCAACTCTACAACTTTCACGGTAAAAATAAAATTAATTATCATCTTAAATGGTTCTGTGATTTAGAACAGTCACGATTTCATCACTCTTTATACATATGGTTATCTTTGTTCAAATTCATTCTTCTACAAATGTTTTTGATTTTAAAAATGTAATATTGTATAAATTATCTTAATTTTTTTATTAAACTTCATTTGATAGTTAAGTGTCATTTGGATATGAAGCAATAAAAATAGTTTAATTTGAAATGATTTGGCATTACAATTAAAACTATGTTTTAGCAAATGTTTCAGTTTGATGTTTGTTTTGTTTCTGATGTGCAAATACCCCCTGTTCTTATGATCCTGTAATTCCTTTTAATATTAATATGTCCCAGTTTCGTGATTTCGTGAAATAACTAACCTAACTTTTCTTACACTTTATTTTAAAAATGTATATAATCACAAATTTTTATTAAAACAGAACATTACAAAAAAATTTTCCAAGGAAAAATTTAAATCGCGTCTGCTTCTTATTCCTAAGTTAAGAATCTTATATGAGTATAATATACTGAATATAATATCCTGGCAGAATCTGATATCGGACGCAAGCTCAAATTGTACACTCCAGTCTCGAAGAAATTAAAGTACATTAAATTAGAAAGATCTCTCACTCGGGTTAGTTCCGGACACATTCTTTGGTGGGATTATCACTTGTATTGGACCTTCTTTCTTAAATATGCAGTTTTAAATTAAGGGATGAACTTTCTGTAGGCATTAATGTATAATGAATTCAACTTACTGCAAAGCTTCTATATACATACGGACAAATCTAACTACTATAGGAAGAGACACATAAAGCAAAACATTACATATGAACCTGCACGTTTGGGCCCGACATCTTCATCGACGGCGTCTTGATGGCGAAGAAATAGGGGCAAGCCATAAGCTGATCTCCGTCGTGGAGGTGCGGAGTCGGAACCACTTGCCTACAATCATTCGAATGTGAAGAGTTTCATTATAATTTCATTCTTATAGAAAATAATTCATATCAAAATCTTTCTAAGGATATTATTTACAGATATCTAAGAAAGGAATAAAACAAAATCGATTCGTTTTTTTAAAAAGGGGGTTTAAATGTGAATTCCGCCTGTGCTTTACGCTCTCTCCATAGCCTTTCGAGGTAACGTTAACAGTTAATGTAGCAAAGAATAAATCTTGAATCTTTCGTTTGTAGTTCTATTAGAGGCAAATATTACCTGTTCACCGGGTGCGGCTCCGGGTAGTAAAAGAAGTGGCAAATTAAGCCAAGCTCCACCAAGCTCACTCAAGTCTGAAGCGTCCGAGGCTCTAGAAGATTTCCTACTGGAAGCATGGGATCCTCTTCGAACGTGCAGCAAGGCGCTTAGCCGGCCACCCCAACCGCCCCCTGGTGACCATTTCGTACTCTCCTCTTCGTTAGAAGGGCTTCGGTTCTTACGTCTGCAATAACAAAACAAATGTAAGTATTTGTTGACATTCAAACAATAACGTTTTAAAGGTATATTTCAAGAATTTGGTGCATTTTTAAAAATTGATATTGTAAAATGATAAGCTTGACTGTTGTCACAAGTTCACAAGTTGTCACGACATGTGTGAAACGGTGAAAAGTTGGATATTTGAGGCACTAACTTTGTTTGAGAGTTGAATAATTGCACAGTTGTTGACTTACTTTACGTACTCCCTCCAAGTTCTTTGTATTGTACGGGCTGCCTTGTCTTCTCTTTTCCATATCCTAGTGGAAGACACTATCTCTAATTCTTTTCTGGTTGGAAATTGTTTCTTAAACTTTATGTCCATTTGTTCTTGAAGCTGCCTAAATGTTTCTGTTTCCTCCACATGACCTAACACGTGTTTTACCAACGCATGAAGGATATCTAGACAATGTATTTTATTTCCCCGTGCGATAGGAAGATTAAAACTTACTAACGCCACTGTATTTGGTTTAGATATACCTAATGGGGGGTCTAGAGATGCTATGAAATCTGATAGTTGAGCAAAACTTATAAATTGGGTCGCATGTGGATCATATCTGTAAAAAAATTCACTTATTATCTTTTTCTCTGCAAAAACTTAAGTGTATGTACAAAATGAATAGCGTGACTAGTGGAAGGACTTACTTGGACCATCTAATATAAAACATCTCAAGATCGTCTTCCACGATACCAATTTCTTCCTCTTGGTGGGCTTGATTGAAGTTCTCTAGTATGATGGCAATATACATGTTTATCACAATCATATAACTTATAATAATAAAAGATGTAAAATATGTAATGGCTAATAGGGGGCTTCCGCAATTGCCGTTGCTGTGACCAATATCTCCCAATTCACAATCAGGTGGCTGGATCATAAGCGATTCAAGTACATCGTTCCAACCTGCTGAGGTCATAAGACTAGAAAAGAAAATGTTCAAATCACATACTTTGAAAAACCCAACAAAAAACCGTAAACTATCGTTGATTCTTACCGAAAGAGTAACTGCATACTTCTACCGAACGTTTGAAAGTTGACAATATCATCTAAAGCACCCTGCTCTTTTACATGACCGAACACTGACATACCAATGATGGCATATATGAATGTAATTAAAGCGAGCAAGGCACCTATGTTAAACAGTGCTGGGAGAGATACTACTAAAGCGAAGAGAAGTTTCCTAATACCCTTAGCGGCCTGCAAATGGTCAAAAACAAAATATTTGTTAAACAGTTTACGGATATTGATATTTTAATAGTATCGTCATTGTATTTTTTAATATTTTCATATATTTTGATATTTTGCAGTAGTAGCAAATGTTGCATGACAGATCTCTTAGGATCTTAGAGTAAAGGATTTAATGTTCATATAAATTTGTTTTTGGCTCTTTATATAGAAAATTCAGTAATCACGTACAAATCATTCAAACTGTGTTTTACTTACTTTAATCAGTCTTAAGATTCTCCCAATTCGAAATACTCGAACTACTCGCAACAGTGTGGGAGATATGGGGAGGTCGATCATAATGTCCTCCATAACAATGCCTAAGATAGACGCTAAAACTAGGAGAAAATCAAACACGTTCCATGGTACGGTGAAATAATGATATCGTAAGCCGACTATTTTGACTATAGCTTCTGTAAGAGAAAAAAAAAACGAGTTATAATTATGTCTAAAAAAAAGAAAGCTCTTTTTATATTAGGGGGGCAAAAGTAATAGATAATGGGTATTTAATTTCGTAATGTATTGACAAATTATTGGGATCGATCAAACAAACCTTATTACTCAATCTATATAATCAAGGTCGTAGGCGTCTTCAAGGCAAGAGTGAATAGGTTTTTACTGAGCTAGCGCGCTTACCATCAAAGGCTGCATCGCCACTTACCATCAGATGTACTGGCCAGTTCGAAATAAAAAAAAATAAATAAAAAAGGTGCTAAAAGATAAATTCCAATTGATTTTGCTTTCTAAAAACAATTTAATTCGAAATGTTATCAAAATATATATTTTGGACCATAATAATTCAACACATAATAATAATAGCGACCTGCCCCGGCTTCGTACGGGTTCAATTTACTATACATATAAACCTTACTCTTGAATCACTATATCTAATAAAAAAACCCGCATCAAGATCCGTTGCGTAATTTTAAAGATCTAAGCATACATTGTAGTCCTTTAATAATTTTTGTTAGGAGTCTATCCCTATGTCATAGGGACAGACAGACAGAGGGACGACTTTGTTTTATACTATTTAGTCATACAATACATATTTTAATGAATGAACAAAACGTCGTTATTTAAAAAAACGATGAGTTAATATTTATTCTAAACATATAAAATAATAAAATTCATATAATTTAGGAGTAGTCCATAAGGCAGCCCCAGTGCGGATGGGCGTGCTTCAGCAACCACTCACAATTATTAAAAAATATGTTGTATATTTTTTAAAAAATACTGGGACATGTAAGATTAATGGATTAAAATAAAGGGATTAAATTCTTGTTTCCACTTGTATTTCAGCAACTTTGATTTTCGAGAACATTCAATTAAAATTATGTATATGTAATATACATTTATGACTTACCTAAACCAAACACGGTTGTGAAAAACGCGTTACTAACTTCTAATACGAAGAACACAGAATGTGGTTGATCGTAGTGCTCTATACCCATCGTGAGCATATTAAGAAATATGAGCACGAATATTGCTATTTCAAAACGTCGTGAATTTGATAGGTCGTAGAACATGGCAAGAAATTGATTCCTTGGCCTTTTTATTACTTTTTGTGGCTTTTTCCTGCCTAACTTCTTCATTGCGGTGTAGTAATGTTTTTGACTTTCCGTTAAAAACATTTCTAATACACCACCTTCATACTGAAAGCAAAAATAAAATAGGTATTGTGGTGCAGGTAAACTTTTTGATTACAATGTAATGAGACAGTGAAATATTATTACCTTTTTCTTGAGCATGTTAAAATTATCTATAATAACTCCTATGAATAAATTTAACGTAAAAAAAGAACCACAAACGATAAAAATAACAAAATATATGTAGGCGTATATATTGGCTTCTCTTGCTGGTTGTAAGTCTACTCCCCTTGCATCAACAGCATCAGCCATTACTTCCATCCATCCTTCAAATGTTGCCACTTGAAAAAGAGCTAAGTACGCTATACCTACATGGTCAAAAGAAATCTTGGAATTTATCCAAGAGAAGTTATTATAATAACATTCCCATTTATCATTTACAACCTGTAAAATATTTTAAAACCATTAGGAGGATATGTGAAAAAATGTGTCTCCAAATAATTCTATATTTAAAGTCATCTTACCTCCAATGGCAACAATTCTCCTTCATCATCGACGCATTTGAAAAATTTCCCCCCAAAAAACTGAACACCCATTATGGAGAAAATTAACCAAAACACTAGACAAACTAGTAACACGTTGAAAATACTTGGAATAGCGTACATCAAAGCGTTTACTACTATTCGCATTCCTTGCCACCGAGATATCGCCCGCAGTGGTCTTAAAGCTCGTAAAGTTCTCAAAGATCTAAGCACCTTGAGATTTTCGTTCTCTTCAATTAATAAACTAAACACTGAAACCTGAACGAAGAAAGAATTATTTTTTACCACCTCATTTCAACAAATCAATATACAAGGGCATACTTACAAAAACTATGGTGAAATCTAAAAGCGTCCAAAAGCTCGTGAAGTATCTGAAGAATCCCAGTGCTATCCATTTCAAAAACATTTCTATCACAAAGATCATGCAGAAACCTAAGTTTGTCCAGTACAATATTTTCTTTAATGGTACGTTTTTCTCTAAGTGAATATCTTCAAAACACAGCGTTATACTGGACGCAAAAATTAGAACCAGGACGAACCACTCGAAAGCCGGGGTATCAACATATCGTAGAATAAATGTACGAATAAACATCCACCGTTGACCAAGATTAGTTTGTATGCACGCATCCCAACACGAACATCTATCAAGAACAATTATTAAATACTATAATAGAAATCAAAGAAAATTTATAAAAGAAATAGGTAATAATAAAAATCATTTTTATACATAGACTAAGTTCAAAAAACTTGTTTACATACGCAGTGTAACATTGTCGCGGAAAACAGTCCTGGGGAACTTTGGGTTCCTTTCTTTTTCCAAAACCAGGAAACTTTCCCATTGCATCAATATATTGACCTTTGGAGTTTTTTCTTCCACCTATGGTTAGTTCGTCTACATATGATACTAAAGTTTGCCATGGGTGTTTCATATCTTCTTCATCGGGCCTTTTTATTGTTTCCTTACTTAAAATGCCGTGTAACTCTTTTCCTTGCAGTCTAGACTTGTCTGGTGTTGTACGGCAAGATATTTGAGCCATTTCATATTGTTCATTTTCATCTTTAATCAAGTACATATATTTTAGAATTTAAGAATCTAAAAGATTTCTAAAATTATTTTTTTATGTTCCTTTTGCATAGTGTATTCTGATAGCGAGATTGCTGTATTCCGTGATAGCTCAGTGTCCGGGCGCTCGCCTTTAATTCAATATACTCGAGCAACCTGAGTTCGATCCCCGGTGCCGGCACCAATGAAGTTTTTAACTTTAAGTGCTGACTTATTACGTGCTCCGCGGTGAAGGAAAACATCGTGAGGAAACCTGCATATTTTCGAAATAATAACAAAAAAATATATATTTCGAAGATATATGAAGTCCGCCAATCCGCAGTGGGGCCGCGTGATGGACTATGCCCTGATACCCTCTGTATAGACGAGGTCGTTGCCCAACAGTGGGACATGTATAGGCTGTTACTTTACTCTTTACTTTTATTCTGCTTGACTCACCTTTAGAATCAGAAGGTTGGGTGTGATAGCCCGAAGAGGATTGGTTCAGTAGCCGTTGAGCGATTACTTGGTCCGTTGTTGATGAGGTTTCGTCCAGATTTTCTTTAGAATCTTCTCTTATGCTTGTTATTTTATGTTCTGTTGCTAAGTCGCGCACGTCCTTCAAAGTTTCTTGACTACCATGATTCAAGTTATTTCCAGCTTGGTACAGTTGAGGATAAGCGAAATCCGAGCCTACCGATATTGGCCTAAAAGTAAAATTTTATCAACCTGGGAATGTTTTACCAGCTAAGAATGACATAAGTTTACTAACTTGCAATACATACCTATTTAAAGCCTCTTGATAACTGTGACTATATATATTATCATGAGGAAAAAGTATAGTTTCTTGCACTGATGAGGAGTATCTTTGTTCGCTGGTTGCAGACGCTTTTTCTTTAACGGCGCGTTGATGTAACATAAATTCATTAACTAACTCCTCTAATTTTGATTTTTTTTCAGTCTCTTTACTCCTTGATATAAGAAAACCTTTTTTTCTTACTATAGAACGTATTCTATCGAAACTTTTTGCTAATTTTGAATCTTCGCCAACTTCCTATAAATAGAAAAATAGTGTAATGTATTTAAATACATATTGCTCACATCATACTTAAACTTGAGCAGCTTAGTGATAAGTCATCGATATTCGATATTAGTGGCAAGCAAGCAAAGTCATTGAAAAAAAACTACAACGTATCTCACCGTGTACTTTTTATAGTTTAGATTGAAAGTGTACGTGAATTTACCTCTTTTCGGTTTTTGAGCTCCTCGCTATTAAAGCTGTTCAGTAACAGGGCAAGGAAGAGATTGAGCACCATAAAGTTACCCATGACAAGCGCTGGTAAGAATATGAAGAAACAGCTTTCTGCGCCGCTCGCCCGTTCTGCACGCATACAATCCCACAATGGCTCAATCCATTCGCCACAAAGGATCCGAAATATCATCATGAACGAGTGAAAGAAATCGTTGAAATTCCATCTGTTGTAAACAATTTGTAAAATCAGAAAATAATAAACTATTTAAATTATTATGAAAATTTATTTCCCAATCACGATCTTTATATATTTATTCTACCAGAGTTGCATTTAGAATAAGTTATTTAGAAATTTAGATAAACATAAACGAAAAAACATATTATTTAAAATCGAATTTGATTTAATGGGAAATAGATTAGATAGTTGCTTCATGCATTATTTTTGATGTAAATTGTGAATATTTACCCTGGGTACAGGATCGGGATCAAATTTTTCGGGAGTGTACGACTTAGAAAATAGTTGCATGCCGATAACAGCAAAAATGTATATAACTATAACTAAAACGAACGTCAAGTTACCAAGAGCACCTATCGTCGATATTATTATACTCAATAACACTTTCATTGTTGTCCATGATTGAGCTAGTTTTAACACTCGTAACTAGAAGAAAACAATGTTTTACTTATAAGTGACAGTTTTTATATAAATTTAATAAATCTTAGGGTTTGCCAGAAATCTTACCAAACGGAGGCCACGTAACACAGACAATCCGTCGACAAGTTCAAATATAAGATCGAGAAGACTTGCTGACACGATGATTAAGTCAAAAATATTCCAACCACAAGAGAAAAAATCTTTGCTCATTGCCATTACCTTCATAATACACTCTAACGTAAAGATTGAAGTGAAAACCTAGAATTACGATTCGCCAATTAATAAATCATTGTTATCGCATGAGGTTGCAACGCAAAAATTTATAAATACATACCTTGTTTCCTATATCTAAAGCTTGTCTAACATTTTCGCTCATTCCGTGATGTTCAAGAGCAAGAAAGAGTGTATTTAATACTATACAAGTGGTAATGAATAGTTCAAACAAAGGATCTTTCACGATTCCATATAAGACGTTCTGGAAGTGCAGCCAACCTTCGTAATCTATGCAACAAGGAACACAGCATTCGCAATTTCTGTCGACGAGTTCATCTGTGAGAAATTGTATGTAATTAGATTGGTGTATAATGGTTTAGTGTTCATGTTAGCACAACACAGAGAAACACAATAATTTAAAGAAAGACGACAAAAAAAGAAAATGGGAGAAGCGTCATGAAGCATATTATATAAATTATTTAATGGCAAGCTTTATTTTGCAATCACAATATATTGCGATGTTGATTTTAAGTATTGTAATTAGTAACGCATGCTTTAAGGACACTAACGGCTAAAGACAATGAAGGGCTCAAAGGAACAGACGCAGGAGGCAAATTACAAGACATACAGGTTGATAGTTCTCAATATTTATATAGTATTTTAAATGTATTTATTAATTAAAACATTTGGCGCATAATAACGTTGCTCTCATATAATTATTTTTACTTTAATGTTCTAGGTGATTTTTCGAAATTTAATTTTGGAAGCGAAAGATAGTTTAGTCGTCCGGTCAATTTCACCCTGCAGTCTTCCCTTAAGGAACAGGGGTGGACTGGGGGGCAGAAGCTTTGGCGTCAGTAGTGTTTACTAACCTGTGAAGTAAGTGCAATTTTGCTCGTAATTGCCCATATGAGATTTGTGCGTGGCTGCCAATAAACTGAGCTCATTAATTTTCGTCGTCTCCGCTTGGGGGAGGTCGGGCGCGTGCTTGTATGGCCAGTCCGCCCCTGACGATATTAATGAGGGTAGAAGCGAAATTGCAACGGTGTTATTTAAAAGTGTCGCTATGGGTTACTGTTCCATAGAATTGTGAAACTAATTGTGAATTGTACCAGCCACTAATCTTTATTAAACTTTTTACAAAAAGTAACTTAATCGACTAGAAAACGCACGGTACTGTGGTAGCTGTTACCCTCAGATTGGTACTCGTACATATTTATAAATAAATATAAAAACAGAATACTTGTACCATGTGCCTTTTGAACTGGAATAATACCATGGTAACTACATATAGAAACCTACCCCTATATTAAGTAATTGAATTGATGATTAAAAAAAACGTTTGGTGTTAATAAAATCTACAATAGTCGTCATTATTATTTTTTCTTTGTGTAAAAATGTATAAAGTATTCTACTTTTAAGTTTATCTAGAGTTGTGTACATAGTGTTATTTTTGGTACTAAACAAACGTTACAAGAGCATTTGCTCGAAGGTTACGTAAATGATCCATATAAAAGTTCAAGTAAATCTGTAATGCATTAGGATTATAACAATAGTTTACTAACAATGTTCAAAATACGAAATAAGATAAATATATCGAGACAGTCTAAATACCCGTTTTCTTTTAAAAAAAAAAAGAAGAAAGCAGAAGTTTAAGTTGAATGTTAAATAGAGATATTGTTTATACTCATATATGATTAATTTAAAATAATTAATAAAATGTGCGAAGAATTCAAGCATCTGAGCTAATATTAAGACTTTATTAAACATTTTATTCATACATCATAAATAGTTATGAGAATTTCATGCAAATTTGTAGACACATATTTATATTATTTTACATTTGTATGAATTCTAAAACTACAAAGTCATATAAAATACATGTATTTAAATCTGTCGAGGAATCATAATGAAGTTTGGTTGATAAGAGCTCTTGTGTTTTGCTAAGCAGTCATTCTTAAGATATGGTATTTTAATGGTGCTTTATCATTCTAAAGCGTGCTTTGTAGCTATGCAATCAAAGGATTTCTCAAAAATTAAACTTTATATATGTAATATAGGTTTTACTTTATCTTTCGAGTTAAAAGTTATAAAAATAATAAAGTACATTTACCTAGCACCACTATTTGATTCAAGTAATCAGGATTTAATGGATATTTCTCTTGAACAGTGCCCTTTTCATCCTTTTTTGTCTCTTTCTTTTTTGTTTTTTCAGCACGCTTCTCAGTATTGGAAGTATTTTTATTAATAGTCTCTTGCGTTTGACTTTCCTGAAAATTTTTACTATATACTTGTTCTGCCACAATGAAAATGAAGGTTTTATTAATACAAAATTCGAGGAGTTGTAGACAGACATGGTTAATAAGCCCCTCAAATATTCATCAAATCTGATATATTTAATTATCTGTGGGGTTGAATATGAAGGATTTGTTATTTTTTGTTAAACAAAGCATTTGTTCTCTAATTTGTGACTATCATTTTCATTTTTACATACAAATAAGGTTATAAACGTTTTTTGATCGGTGTACAAGTCGGATTGGAGAACCAGCTAATCCAGTAAACAATATTGTTTAATAGCCACTAGCTATTTATACAGCCTACCTGTTGAATTTGCGGGATTTGTGGTAGGGGCGTTGGGGGGTGTGGTGGCGGGGGTGGGGGTGGCAGTAGAAGGGGGCGCCGCGGGTGCGGATGCGGCGCTTGGTCGTCGGATGTGTGCTCGCCGTCGTCGTGGTCGTCGACCACGCCTGAGTCGTCGAGTGAGGACTCTCTATTGTTGCTGTGGTCGCTTAACTGTCGACCAGCAACGCTCAGTGCCCCACGACCTGTTAAGTTAGTAAGTACCTCCCTTAATTCGAAGTGCCATCGTACACTGCAAACGACTGCTACGAATGCTATGGAGTTTGGCTACAAATACTACGACCGTTGGCTACGAATGCTACGAACGCCCGCAACGATCTAATAAATATCTATCCGAGACTGATAAGAATGATTATATTATTAAAACAAATCAGTCTGTACACAAGAGGTACGCATTAGGCTTATTTATGACAAGCTTTTATAAGCGGCTTTGTCTGTTTGGCTCACCTTTGAATTATAATAGGTGATTTTTATTTTACAAACCAGGTCCAACCTGGCAATGATGATGATAGTAAATACCATTAAGTGTTCCGTGATGTAAAATTTCTGAGAATCGACACTATTTTATCCTGGTCATTATCGACGCCGAGATGGCAAGGACTGATCGTCTCGTGAAGTGCAATTGTTATACTTCATATGGTGACTGAAGTAATAGGGGCCACCATTATCAAAAGGTGGCAACGCATGTTCAACCTTATGAGTACTACAGAGTCCATAGGTGGCGGCTGTCACTTAACATCAGGTGAACCGATAGCTCGCATCTCACATAAAAAAAATCTTTCCTGGAACCCAAAGAAGAGCTAAAAAGGTAATGGTCTTAAATAGGAAGATGAATACGTTACCTAAAGCGTTGTCAGGGTGTAACGTGTGTGGCGGTGGTGGTGGTGGCGGCGGAGGCGCGGGTGGCGGGGGTGGTGATTCACTAGGGGTCACTGACCTTGACCGTGACCTCGATCTGTTTGTAATAATTGTTTGTTTAGTATAAATATAAAACCATTCCTTAAAAATGCATTATAAATGTTGGTTTATATATTTCGTTAATACATATAAGTCAATTATGTTTAAAATAATGCTTTTTTCTTTTGAAGGAACAGTCAATAAATATGCCAACGGTGTTGCCAAGATTCAACACCCGATAACCCTAAAGTTACAAAATATAATTAACTCCGTATCAGATATACAGTACAGGTATTCGAACAGTGTCTTATCCAAAATTTTGCCAATGTAGCATCCGGTATGCTTAGCACATCGCCTGCTTGTTGGGCTTAATTATCCGCATTGCAAACAATATTAATATGCAAATTTCACGTTGCGTTGACGGGGGAACGTTTAAGAACGTCATACAGGTCGGGTAAATGTGTTCCGTGTAAACAACATTTAACACTTTAAACTATATATACAAATTTCAATTGAGTATCATTATAAAATGAAAAATTTAATGTGCTTGCATTATTTACAGGCATCGTTGACTATAATTTATTTTATTTTTATTATGTTTCATTCGGTGCATAAAACAGCATATAGTAATATACACATCACAATAAAGTCGAACCTATGCGTACACAACATGCTACGATATCATGGCAACAATGTTTTCAACTTAATTTACACTAGATAAAAAAAAACTATAAACAAAAACTGCTAAAAACAAAATTAAAAAAACTACAAAGATAAGAAAGGAAAAAAAGCACAAAAGACATTATGGGCATTATTATATTCTTTATTGAACACCAAAAAAAAACATGAAAGGAAGTCTTACAGAACTATAAACTTAAGAGGTATAAACAATAAGGCGGTCTTATCGCTAAGGAGCGATCTCTTTCAGACAACCTTGTGGTTAAAAATATTTAATTTGGACAACGGTAGGTGGTGTAAATGATAAACTTACATACTAATATTTAAATAAACTAAACGAATCTGTTGTATTTTTGTATAATAATAATATACTAATATATACGAAATAAGATCCAATAGACATACATAAATCTAAACATATACTGTACAATAACTTACAAAAATATATACAGGAAGAAAAGAATAAAAAATAAATATACAAATGTCGTTGGTGATAATCAGCTTGAACACAGTGACAGATAATAATTTTTAACGTCAGTTTTAAACTTGCGTAACGTTTTTGAGCGCTGGATGTGTGGCGGAAGCGCGTTCCATAGGCAAATGGCTTTGACCGTAAAAGAGTTCTTAAAATAATTGGTTCGGAAAGTATGCGGAGTGATAATGAGTTCACTGGCTGATCGCAGAACTCTTTCTAGTCTGTCATGACCAAGAAATTTAAACTGTTCCTTCAAATAACTCAGAGTCATAGGATTGAACAAAACACAGTACAGAAGAGAAACAATATGCAGATTCCGGCGAAGGCGGATGGGTAACCACTTGAGCTTTGTACGATATTCGGAGACATGGTCATACTTGCGTAGACCGAAAATAAATCTGATAGCTAAGTTTTGAATTCGCTCAAGCTTGTTAAGTTGGGCATGTGATAATTTGTTTGAATGTACTCAGTTTTTGGTAGAAAATATCAATGGAATGATTGCTGCTGGCAAGTTTATTTTACCTGGTATACATTCTGTAAATTGGGTTATTTGGCGCGAACTTAATTGTGCTATATGGTATGTGAAATAGTTTAGCATTCCGGCTTCGATAATTTGTGTTCATCTTTATTCTGGCTAATAATAGCTCAGTTATTAGTTAGTTATAATAAACTATCAATATAATTACGTTCGTAAGCTATGATTTGCCAAAACTATTTTTCGAAAAAAATAATGATTAATAAATGAATAAGTTAATTAATACAAACCAGCTTGGCTGTAATATGACAAAACGGAATTGTTTCTTCGCGTGTTGACATATCGTTTCCTATTTTAAGGACGGCGACGATTAGCTTGTCGAGTATATTAAATTACACACAATCTTTCCTCTGGCTAGCTAAAATAGCATTTAAGATTGTATATAATCGAACAGTTTTCGAAAGTACCACTTGATATAGCAAATTAATTAATATTTTATAATTTTTGTTGATATATAGTGATAATCTACAGTCAAGATGAAATTTAAATGTTACTTTAATATATTTTGATAGAAATTGTTGACCAATTTTCGACGCCGTTAGGATATGAAACTGCGTCTTCTCGGTATCGCGCCCAGGAGCTCTAGTCAACTGAGCTAAACGCCCTATATCTCCAAGGTGCGAAAATCTTGACAACTAACTACTTTTTTATGTATTTTAGCAACGGTTGGCGCCATCTATTGACTGCTTTTACACTATGCTTACTCCTAAATAAAATTTTACAGTAAATATATGGCTCTTGGCATCTTAATTGTAAAAATAATATTTTACTTACTTACTTTTGAAATTTATGATTAATTTTGTAGTTTTTTTCGACAGCCTATCTAGTAAATTCACAAATAATAAGACTGCAATAATCGTTTATTAATTAATCAAGGCTCAACAACGAAATACATACAGAAAATCGATATACAAATAGTTAAATCATCAAGTTGTAACAGCATATTACAGATACACAACACTATAAAACAAACTTTCTAAACTATTTTCTAGAGAACAGAAACTTATTTAACAAAAAAAACTTACGTATACACGCACGTAAGATTTAACCTTCTTTAGTGTAACAAAAGAAAAATAAAAATCATCTCCCGTATGCCAATACTCTTTGTTTGTGAAAAAGACAATAAAGGCAATTGTTATCGGCTTAAAAACTTGGAATTATAGGCAAATGTTGTTATTGGTTACCATGGTAACTCAAACTTGGTTTCGCTTTAGCATAAATTTTCCCAATAAAGAAGTATAATTTTAATAATTATCTTTAATCGTTGAGAAAAAAAGAGAAAAATAAGGACTATAAAATGTAAATAATTTATCCGAAGTTTTCTTTACCTTTCGGAAACCGCGGCGACGGCCGCGACATGATGGATAGCGCTCTTGCCTCTTTTGCGTCTCCTCGTCCTTTTCCTGGAGTAGGAGGCCAGTAAAAGACCCTTTCGAGCGTCAATCCGCTTCTTTGAATCCTTGGCTAGGGTCCGCACGGCCAGGGACGTGGGGTCGAAACTGAACGTGGAATCGTCTCGGTGCTCATTCAGATCCTTTTTGCGTTCCTAATTTAAAAGTGTTTTATATTTAATAGTGTTTTATGTTTACTGACCGTATTCCTAGTTTTTTTTAATCATAATGATGTAAAATCTATTTATTATTCAATGAAGTAAATTAAAAATATAGACATATCACATTACCTCTTGTGTAATCTGCGACTCCTCTTCGTAGCTCAGTGCTACGACGGCAAGCATCAGATTAATAAGGTAGAAGGACCCGAAGAAGACAACAACCGTAAAGAAAGAGACGGACATAGGGCCGCAAGACGACAAAACCTAAAAATAATAACACTAATAAATATAATTGCTTCCACCGAGCTATTTTTGAAACAAACTTGACGAGATACAGTAGCAGTAAACGCGGCTTGAAATGTGGCTCGGTTAATGCTTTATTTGAAAAAAAAAAAACGGATTAGAAAAGAGTCTTACGCAAGCTACCGTATTGGGAACCAGCTAAGCTCAAGATATTAAAACCACTAATTGGACGTGCCAGACACTTCGTCATAACTGCATATTATGTTTAAGTAATAATATTGTACATTATACAATAATAATTTGAAATGAAACACACTGTTTTAACGTTCCTTTCAACGAATTGGATTTTTAAAAAGCACAATGTAAATGAAATCAAACCTTATGTTCTTGTTTGTTGATCGGCATGATGGTTAAGCGGCACCGTTAAGTAAAACGTGGGTAAATTATACTCTAAGCAACAGTTAACGAGCGTAGTTTCGCGGGGACGTGTAACGTGCCTAAGCGTTCTATTAACGGTGATTAGGGTAATTGAATAGAAGCTTAGGTCCCCATATTGCTATCTGACATTTTCGCTAAAATCACGCAACTCTCGTGACATATAAAGTAATCGCTTCAGTAAATTCCGATGTAGATATCAGTTTTTATGGTATTTGCCTCAGTTCATAATCGACGTATTTTTTTAGGTTTACAGATTTTATCTCTTGCATGTACTCCTTTATTACTAAAACTAGGTATAATGAGATTAAGTTTACGATACGTTTATGCTACGTCGTATTCAACGAAGCTTATATAGAAATTTGACAAATTTGTATTAAGTTTGTTAAACTACTAAACCTTATTCAAAGCATATTCATTATGCGGGATCCGTTTAATTCACAGTCCGCTCGCCTACAGTAAATTAATTTCCGGAGGAAAGTCCGTTTTACATACTAGACTATTATAAATGAAATAGAAGTTGATTTAAGTTATTACACAATTTACAAATTTTATGATGTCAGGAAACCAATCATCCCTTGTAAGCACCGACCTAAAGGAATATTCCGTAACAGTTACATTAACAAAATTAATTACATTACACATGTCGCGAAAACAATCAGAACGATGTTGAAATAACACAAGAATTGCTCGAAGTACGTTGCTATTTAGTTAGTCCCTATAAAGGATAAGACAAATGTGTACAAATGTAACTGTGTTGAGGTAACAAACACGCCTAACAAAACATAGAGTAAATGTTTCGCGTACATTGTAATAATAGAGTTAAGTTCATATCCCACTTATGTATTATTATTATTATCTTTATTCCCACTTTTCTCAACTTATTACTAAAACTTGTATTTATTCAATATAGAAATAAATCATACTTAAATTATGAACGTAAAGGGATCATAGTTTTACTTAATTCGACAGACATTTTCTAACAGACCTATTTTTTGTAATTTACTTCTCTTCCGCCGGTATCTATTAATATTGCCGTGAGATGAAAAAAATATTTCCAACGTTTAAAATTCACACTACAAAATACTACATGAAATGGAACCCAAAGTAGATAAAACCAACCATATTATAAACGTTCTCCCAATAATCCAGGGTGATAAGTTGAAAGGTGGTGAGCATAGACCAGAGAAAGTTGTCAAAGTTCGTGTATCCGTGGTTGGGATTTGGCCCCACACATAGACAGGTATAGTCGGCAGGACAGTGCCTCGCCCCAGTGAGATTACCACATATGATAGGCACTTCTTCCTCGTTCACCATCCAGTTTGACGGTTCTCTAATCCACCTGTGTAAAGAGAGTTTAAAAAAAAATAATGTGTCATCAGTATTGCACCATTTGCATTTCATTTGCATCTTACTTCCGTTTACACATCGTAGTTAGATAAATAGAGATATTTTTCACGTGGACAAAACTTTCCGTTTTACACAACAAGTTTAAATTATTTTTCACAAGAAATTATTTTTATGAAATTAATTTCACTGTGTGTCACCAATAAGACTAAACAATAAATCATGCTTACAGAAATTCTAAATAAGCTGCCCATTTTCTATACTCAGCTTGTTTTTTTATATTGAGATTTGCATGTACTTACTGTAACCACAGCTCATCTGTAAAGTTTTCTCCAGGTCTAACAACGAGATTCCTCACACATTTATTCCTTAATTCGCCCATGTAGACCTGGAGAGCGAACAAGGCGAACACCATCAGGCAGAAGATAGTCAAGGTCATGACCTCCGCCAGTTGCTTGAAGGAGTGCAGAAGTGCGTTGATAATAGTCTTTAAGCCTGCGAAGAAAAATAAGTAGACAGTTACTACTTTCATTTAATGTATCATCATCACCACTTCCGTCTATTCGACTCCACTGCTGAACATAGGTATATCCCACAGAATGACTTAATTAGTAAAGGTATATATTTTTTCGCTTAATGTAACATAAAAAAGTTATACATAAAATTTACAAATTAAAATTATTTTTTCTAAACTAACTAACCAACACCAACGGCCGATTAATAATAAATAAGATAATTTAATAACAATTAATAAAATTCTGGCTCACAGTGGTAAAAATATTTTTCTATTTTATAACGCTTGTGACTATTGCGCTAGTTTATTAGCTTTATTTTATTTATATTTGTAGTGACCCCGATGACACCAGCTGTTTAGAGTTAAGTTCAGAAGCTGATGTAATGAAATTTTTCGATATGTAAGATTGTCGTTTTTTTATTTATTTATTTCTATTCTTTATATTTAAAACTTTGCATTCCTTATTTTGTCATGGAGTTCGCAAAGAAGACATCCGAAGTAGGACAAAGGTAACTGACATAGCTCAGAGGCTTAGCAATCTGAACGTGTCTGAATCTGAAGTGGCAACGGCCAGATAGAAATAACCGATAATCGATGTAGAGGAAAGGTTCTAGAGTGGGACCCTCGTGATGGATGTAGGTGGCTCAAGGTTATGCTTCGTGGGGGTCTGTTTGGGACTCAGTTCGGCACTGGACACAATCAGGCTGAAATGATGATGAAGACGAAGCATTCTTTAAAACAAACGTGTAAACGATACTTTACCAGGCATTATAGAAACAGTCTTCAACGCTCTTAATACCCTGAAGGTCCTTAAGCCGGCCAGGTTCCCGACTTCCATGCCTATCGTGGCATACCCCGACGTGATGACCACAAAATCCAGCCAGTTCCAAGGGTTCCGTAGATACGTATACTTATTGAGGATGAAACCTTTGGCTATACACTTAATTATCATCTCCGCCGTGTATATCGCCAGAAAAATATACCTGCGGGAAAAAGCAACAATCATTAGTAATTATTCGTAAATCCGCCTCCAATGACAACTTTAACAAGCAACGACGAGTTTTGAATCAGGATAATGCTTTAAGCATCATATGGTTTTCCTAAAATTTTCTTTACATCAATTATTTTGATACGTTTAAAATGAATATATTGTAATGTTCCTAGTTCAATATTTGTATTATTTTATAAAATATGGTTTATTTTGAATAAACACAAATACACCAAATGTTTTTTTTGTATCAATGTTATGAATTTTCTGTTTTCTTTTGCTTTCTCCGGGCTTTTATGTGAAAAGTGGCAAACGAGCTGGTGGTTCACCTGGTGTTAAGTGATAATCGCTGCCCATGGACATTTGCGCCTTTAAGTAAAGTGGGCCCCGGCTACCCCACTAACCAGACGAAACACATAAGTGATGTCTTGGTAGTTGGTACTAACCCGGACGGACCTGTCCATTCGTGCAACATCGAACTCTATTGCGAGGCCCTGCCACGTAGAAATACGTTCTGAATGTTATTTACTTTCAGATGTGTATGAAGATGATTTGATTTTCAGTCATTTACAACCATCAACCACACCGCATTGGGATTGAGCTCGTTGTTAGAATGGAACATTTATGTTGATTCCCCCTAGTCCATTTCAAGCTCACAACAGCGGTACGGGAAGCGTTAATTGCGTAAAGGGACTATTACGAGCAATATGTTACAGCCCGTAAATATTTGTCCATACATTTCGACACTTGTTGCGCGTCGTATTACTGTGATTTGAAAAAGTATTTTTCTCTTTCAAGCTTCTAATATTTTTCGAAACGGCATACACCTAAAACATCCTTAGAGCTTGTCCTTATTTTTCCTATTCACACTGTAATGCACTGGGAAGTTATATTTCAAATTTTATTCTAGAGGATGAATCTCAGTGACGTTCTCTAATCAGGAACAGTGATTATCCAAGAAAGGATAACGTTCCTTGTGCATGAGACGGAGAAGCTACGTATAACTTGTAACGTTTCGGACAAAACAAATTTTGTTGTACAGATTGCCTTATTCAAGTAGGTTCAGTGCTATGCCAGAAGGTTTGAAATATATAACAGCTTGTTGTTGTGGTTGCAAGATGTTTGTACTCTCTAAAGTTGACAAATTTGTGAATAACAATCACAAGTGCTTATAGTATATGAGTATTAATGTAACTTACGACAGGCAAACTTAAAAAACGAGAAAGAAAAATTATGCGATGAAATACGCAATCGCATCGTATTAAACGTGCAATAGCGAACACTGTTGCGTGCGTCTTCTGTTTCCGTTTAAAGGAACGCAAAAACTCAATTGCGTAATAAAAGCTGGATATGTTTTCTTAAAACACAAAATCATAAGATGAATTACACTAGCTTTGTGTCCAATGGATTCTGCAACTGTTAGTTAGTTATTTACAAATATACATGTGTAGATTCCACGTAGATTCTAGTTGTTGCGAACAATAAGGTGTATATCACCTTATTGTTCGCAACAACTAGAATGTACGCCGGACGAATGAATGCGGTTTCAAGAGATAGAAGAGGAACTCGATTTATTCGCACCCAGCATTGCACTGACAAGACAAATGATACCAGATTAAACTCTTGCGAAACATGACAAACCACTCCTGGAATAATGCCCCGCTGCAGACATGATCAATGAACTCTGATATATCGGTGCATTTTCTAAGTGCATCCATCGCATTATATCGGTTATGACGTGAGCGTTAAAATACAATAAAACAACTTTCACATTTTACATACATTTCGCTCAAACACATGTCGATTACTTTGATCGTTATGAGCTGTTTTTTCAACCGACTTAAATCAGGATCTCAATAGGCTTCAATTTGGTTGTAGGTATGTTTTTTTTATGTTTGTTACCGCAAAGACCCGTCATTTATGAACCGATTTTGAAAGTTGTTTTTGCATTGGGCTGGGCTTAGCCTCCATACTGGGCTTAGCCTTACGGAGATACATCAGGGTACTCATCAAATGAAATAGAAAATAAATAGATAAATATTTTGGGACACAATTTTACACAATGTTCTCTAGTCCCAAACTACGCGACGCTTGTACTACTGGTACAAGATAACTGATAAATAAATACATATTAAACACCCAGACACTGGAAAAACACCATGTTCATCACGCAATATTTTTCCAGTAGTGGGGATCGAACCCAAACCTCTGGCGTAAGAGGCAGGTTCACTACCAACTACGCAACTAGATGGTATAAATAAATCTAGATATTTAAAGTCGTTTTTTTTTTTGTTAAATTTTTTTTATTCAAAACTGGCCAGCCCTCGACTGCCATCCCACCTGATGGTAAGTGGTTATGTAGGTAACATAATGAAAATGTTGTTAAGTTGTTATTAAGTTAAATTATGAGAGATTTTATGTATTATTCTACTATATTTAGATATTGTATATATATTACCAGTACACATTAAAGGCACTCTTAGATTATATTTTCAGTACTTAATTTCAAAAAGAAAATCCTTCACCCTTCGCGTAGCAGCGTATTATATTTCCAAGCTTATTCTTTCAGTAGATTAGATTGTTTACTGTACGCAAAAAATATCATATAATTTTCAAGTGATTTTTTTATGTTCTAGCTTAACACGCGTAATTACGTCAGACTGTCATCCGTGTGAGAATATATACGAATATTGGTCTCACCGATTTTACATGTTCATGACGTGCGTTTTTAAAAACATGTTAGTTTTCTAAAATTATATCAAAAGGCGAAATTGTTATAGAAATAGAAATAGTACAGGCAAATTTTCAAATTTTTAACCGCAGCGATTCATATCCCTTACGTGAAACTTTTGTTTCTCGTGGCCTCATTTGAGATTTATCCAGGATATTTATTTAATATGAGAAAAACATTATGTGTAACACGAACTTTGTAATCGTTTTAACTCTACTTTTCACTACTTTATTTTAAGTTGAGAACAAGAAATCGCTTCCATTTATTGCTTCGATGACGCAGAATCTTAATTTACCGAATATATAATCGATAATTCAAAGAAGTTTTTGCGGTTATTGTAAACAGGTTGCACAAATGTAAATAGTTGTTTAGGAGGAAATATTTCCCTATTCACTGACTGATCAAATATTGACTATGATTATTTTATATAGGAATGCAAAGTGTGAAATTGACATTGAAAATTCAAGTTCAATTCAGTTAAATTGTAACAAAATGCAGGTTTCTGGTGAAAAATGACAAAAAAATATTCGCAATATTGTTATCTCTCTTTAAAATATTCTCAAAGGTGTTTTTATCGGTGCACCATAACTTCCATAATTCTTCATCAAAGTTATTGATTTAAACATTTGAAATAAAACAAACGGAATATAATATGACCTTCTCTATTCTATCCTTATTCGGGATAATTAGGTACATTATTTCAAATAGTGAAAGCATTTTTCCAAAAGTGCTCGATTTGTGATGAACTTTATTTTTTATTAAGCACGTTTGGCTACAATATGTCAACAGACACAAAGATCTGACAAATATAAGCAAAACCGACATTAACAAGTAGATGATTTATTATAGAGTGCTTACCAAAAGTCATCTATATACAAGCATGTGACTCTCGTGTGTGAACATTAAAATAACATTAAACACATCTCGAAAGATTTATGACCCTTGTGACAAAATGAGAAAAATGAATTTATCTTGAAGATCATTTACCCATAAAACATAAATATAACAAACAAACACATTTATTTTGTTGCTTGCTTTGTAAGTTTTCTTTAAATGAGTGTTTTTATAAAAGTATATCATATCATATTTCATCTTATTAATATTGATAGGAATACTCATTTATACAGAGAGAGCATTTAACAAGTTTGAAAAACATGTGATCATGTTTTTCTTTCTGAATTCCGTATATTTCACTTCAGAAATATAAAAAAAATATTTGAGAACTCTGCTGGCTAGTCTTTCTGATGTTGTTCAATTTTGGTAATTGTACATTATTATAGTTATATATACATACTGTACATAATTATAATTCCCATATTATCAAAGAAAATATTTAACTTACATAAACCAGTTATATTTTGGCGAAATTTATAAAGTACTGAAAATTTAATGTCTTGTATGAAACAAAAAACTTTTGTGCCGAAAGAACTGTCTTTGTACTGTTATAAACATAAACAAGAGATTTAGTTTGAAATAATTAGCTTTGCAACTCCTACTTTTCCAGCGTTGGCATATATAAACTGTATTAAAATTAAATTGCCACGTCGTATTATACTAGGGAGTTTTAGTTTTGCGCAAGTTTCTATCTTTAGGGGTTGTTTCCAGTTTGAAACAAGTAGATGTTATGCTGTCATCCCAAATGGTTTCCGGTTTTAGAAAGTTTCGTGCGATCCGTACAACCCTGGCTGAACCCAAATTATCCGGTCTGATGGGCTGAATACACAAAGAATGCTTCAATAAAAAAAAAAAAAAAAAAACAATTAAAATCACAAATGTTATCAGTCATATTTAAAAGAAAATTATACGGACAAGCTTATATTTTTAAAATTCAGTAGCTGACCCGGCGAACTTTGTTCCGCCCTATAGGAAACAAATGATCACATTTCTTACTTTTTAAATTAGGATAATTGTAAATAAAAAAATCTATTAATTCAATGATTCTTTATTTTTGCCAACTAAATTGTCATTTATTTTTTTACATGGGTTGCACTTTTCAGTGTAACACCTTGTGATAAACGACATTTTTCGTTTTTTTTTATCAGGCGCGAAAATAAATAAAGCAATAAGGGATCCTGGGAATGAGAACTTCCTCACCTTTGAATTTTCCTTTAAGTATTGTGGTGTAAATCAAATTGTTCATTAATTTACTTACCACCAATCGTGTTCCGTTGCACAGTGTTGGTTGGTTTAAGTTTCGAAGCATGGCTACTACGGAACCAATCTTTAGTCGTAAATTGTGCGATGGTAAGCCAGGCACACCCAAGGAGTTTAAAAACTCAATTGGATAGTTAGTTGGTGGCATCATCTTCATTTGTTACACAGTCAATAGATTTGAAAGAATGCAGTGTACCAATGATCTCATTCTGAATTATGTAGTTTAAGTCATCTACATCTTTATTCTTAGCCGCCAAAATTGCTCGCTCACTCAACCATTCAATATTTTTGTGGTTAGTAATGATGTTTGTAACGATGTGGTTAGTAATGTAGAGCCGTGATAGCTCAGTGTCCGGGCGCTCGCCTTTAATTCAATATACTCGAGCAACCCGAGTTCGATCCCCGGTGCCGGCACCAATGAAGTTTTTAACTTTAAGTGCTGACTTATCACGTGCTCCGCGATGAAGGAAAACATCGTGAGGAAACCTGCATATTTTCGAAATAATAACAAAAAAAAATATATTTCGAAAATATGTGAAGTTCGCCAACCCGCAGTTGGGCCGCGTGGTGGACTATGCCCTGTTGCCCTCTGTATAGAGGAGGCCTTTGCCCAGCAGTGGGATATGTATAGGCTGTTACTATACCTTTAATGATGTTTGGGAATACTTTGTTGATGAATTCGTCTTTCGATGAGACAAAGTTACAGAAATTCTGAGGAAATGAAATCAATCCGCTCGATTCGTCGACAGGTACTCGACCATTACCGTTAGTCAGCAATTGCTCAGAGAAATCTTTAGCAGACGTATCGTTCAGCAATGCAACTCTCATGTTTGTTGTCATCTGAAGTTTCTTAACATAGCGCCATAGATTCGATGATTTGAGGCAAGCGTTTATTTCGTCAGCAGCAGTCGATCTTGGAATTACTGGCAATGTTTAACAGATAGTAAAATCATTGTGCCTCTAAAACATCTCGAGCCATTACGTAGATTTTGCAATGTTCGGTTAAGTGCTTCCAATGCACGTTTATGCGCCATTGTGCATTCGTCCCAGATGATGATCTTCGATTCGGATAAAACTTTGGCCATTGCGGAGCGCTTTGTAATGTTGCATGTTGGTTCTTCAATAGATTGAAGATTTAACGGCAATTTTAATGCAGAATGTGCCGTACGGCATCCTTCTAGCAATGTGGCTGCTATTCTAGAAGAAGCAACTGCAACCGCAATGTTGATCTTGCACGAACAGTGGCTAAAACTACTGACATGAGGAATGTCTTACCAGTTCCACCAGGGGCATCCAGGAAATATAAACCACCGTTTCCATCATCAATTGCCTTCATTAATGTATCATAAACTTCCTTTGGTTGGTGATTCATCAGGGGTACATATGTTTGAACTACTTAATCTAATTCCTAGTGATCATATTCACGTTCCCGTTCCAATTCTCGATTAAATGCAACAATATTAAAACAACAATAACGGCAATTTCACTTTGCCACTAAGGCAGCAAAATCCTGGCGGTTCTCCGGAAAAATTTAATGCACCACAATACTTGAAAATAACGTCCATTGGCGCAATGCGAACGCTAGTATGCAAGCAGTAATCACTGCTACAATCGTATCGAAATGCAGCCCGATTCAAATCAGTATTTGATGAATTTCTTCTTGTGCTTCGTAAATTATCTTGTTGTTGATCTCTGAGTTTGCTCGACGATTTCGCATCGCAATCGAGCCGTTTCACGGGCTGCCTCCCTTTGCTCTTGTGAGTGAGAAGCACGAAGTCGAGCCATACTAACGTGGCGCTCTTCACGTGCAATTTCTTGCTGTTCTTCAGTCCGTTCATTCGCAATATTTCACTCTTGCATTACGCGTTTATCGAGAAAGATCTGATCGACTTGTTCGCGGCATGGTATTGTTATTAATGATAATATCGGAACAGCAACATAATAATTTAAACAAATGCATCAACCGGTCAAATTTTTTTTTAAAATATGTTCAGCTGTCAGTTGCGTTTTGTTATACCATTTTTAACAAATGAACTGCTGACTTATATTTTGACTGAGTTGTTTTGTTATTCCATGTCAGTTGCGTTTTGTTATACCACTTTTTGTCACGCCCCACGCGAACGACGGGAACGGGAAAAAAAGTACCCTATGTCCTTCTCCTAGTTCTTAGCTACCTCCATACCAATTTTCAGCCAAATCGGTTCAGTCGTTCTTGAGTTATAAATAGTGTAACTAGCACGACTTTCTTTTATATATATATAGATTTCAGTTTTCATGTCTATATCTAAAACTAAAAAGTACCCTCGCAATTTGAAGTGTTCGTGTAAAATGTCGGTACGTGAGCTGAGCACTAAACTGTGCATTACCGTTATAAAGCCCCTGTTGAATTCAGGAGAGCTCTAGCGTTTTAGCGTGAAACATTGCACTATTTTTATAAATTTTCACTCGACTAACATTTAAAAAATTGTATTGAAAATTATTCTATATTTTTTGGATGGCTTCACACAAGAGGCAGGTTGGCATTAAATAGCGTCATTTTATACTATGCCCTCAAACTTAACAAGGTTTCGTTAACTTTTTAGCGTCTTATACAAACCGTTAAATGTTTTTTTGAAAATGATTTATTGTATTTCATAGGAAAGAGTAATTAAAGCCATGTTTATTGTTACGGGTGAAGTTCACGCCAAGGTTACTAGTTAGGTACTCTTTGTCTGTTACATATTACATGTTGTATTACGACGAGTTACGATCGGTAATGTCAAAATGAAAGGCATAACAATACTTTTACTACTTAATTATCACTTAATTTAGATGTAATTACATTGACTGTGTATGAAGTGCAAGCCTTAAAATATCATTAAAGCCAAGATGACGATAGAGAAGGCTAGTATGAAGAAGAACTTTGAGTTTCACCTAGTAAGGTAAGGTTGAATCATATTTATTTGCATAATCATTTATCGCGTTAAAGAACCTCATCATAGTATTCGTTAGATGATATTATTATGTCAATTTCCCGTTTAAAAAGGCAGAGGCAGAAAAACCGAGCCGTTTTAATATGATGCAATTTTATTCATACCATTAGCATTTCAGCACTGTTTATTGAGATATGGGATCGCAAGATATGCGTGACCATAATCCGTGAAATATGTAGGTTGGAATTACTTCCTTGCACAAGATGAATTCATGCTTCCAGTTCTAACAAGTAGCAAGTAAATAAGTGTCATATTTTCCCGCTGTTAGCGGAACGCGGAGTATGAATAGTAAATGAGTTCTCTTAGACTGAACACATTATTTACTCGCAATAATAATTCACTTATATGCCTACATGCAATTTGTAAGTTTAAATGCGCGTGGTAGAAACGTACTTATTTATTTAAAAATTTAACAAAGTAAAACGACGAGAAAACTGTTTTAGGGTTGATTCAAACAATGAGCATGGAAAATGCCCGTAAAACCACTAGCATTAAAACGTGCTGCATTAAATCGCAAAAACAACGTCCCACTGCCGCTTAAGTATGTTACCATTTATTTGTTTCAATTAAGTCTTAAAATGTATGTAATTTACTAATACTTCCCGAGTAGAAGCGGCAAAAACTAGACTAATAGATCAAAATTCGATCATACTTATCTTATGCCATATTACTACAATATACAAGTTGATCATATTACTTTGTGCCATTCAAGATGAAATTTAAATGTTTTTTTTTTATATATATGGAAAGTGGCAAACGAGTTGGCTGTTCACATGATGTTAAGTGATAACAGCCGCCCGTGGACATTTGCAACACAGTTAATCTAGATTAAACACATTAAACATAGAACATTACACTTTTTTGACACTATATTAACGAATTCGACACTTTATATACAATTTATGGTGCAGCCATAATTTATAAAAATTTCTTAATGAGGTTATGTGTACAAAATAAAAATTGGGAATTCTGTAGCGACTATATCGACTCTATGCGACTGCGGGGATTATTATGATTGTGTTTGCCCCGCCCCGGCTTCGCACGGGTGCACTGTTTTATACATATAAACCATCCTCGATTGAATCACTCTATCTAGTAAAAAAAACCACATCAAGACCCACTGCGTAGTTTTAAAGAGCTAAGCATACATAGGGACAGAAAGCGGGATGACTTTGTTCGTTTCATGTATGTTACGAAAAAATTAAATGCCTATCGTTTGTAAAATCAAATTATCGCACGTTCTGTTGAACACTCACGATGCTTTGGTACGTCTTTGTGAATGCGCAGTAATACTCACTCGGCCTCTTCGATCGTCTCCGACATGGCGAGGAAGACACAGTTGAGCAGAATTGTGGCCATGACGAAGTAGTCGAAGTACTGGTTGGTCGAGAGGTAGACGCAGGCGCGCCGCACCGGCGACCACGGAGACCACCAGAACAGAGACCTGGTGGCCGTGAACCGGTGGATGTAGTTCTTGCGGAACCTCTTCGAGACAACGCAGAAAGTCTGAAACAAGGAGCACCCTAGTGAGTAAACGAATACCATTATCCGAATACCGGGAGGTTTGTCGCCTTGGTATATGAATTTTTAACTGCACATGAAACATTAAAATAAAAATAAACCGGTTAAGTGCGAGTCGCACTCCGGCACACGAAGGGTTCCGTACCATTATCTGTAAAACCGGCAAAAGAATTATCTCTGTTTTATGGGAACCCCACTCAAATATTGTTTATTCTGTTTCTTAGTATTTTTTGTTATAGTGGCAACAGAAATACATCATCTGTGAAAAATTTCAACTGTCTAACTATCATGCCTCATTAGATACAGCCTGGTGACAGACAGACGGACAGCCACACAGACTACGGAGTCTTAGTAATAGGGTCTCGTTTTACCTTAATAAGGACTAAAAACAGAATAAGTGTTGGCGCTGGCAACACTGTATGCCGGATATGACGTTAGCTGCCCGAGCCGGGGGACACATGGTCGCATGGAGCGGTGGTGACTTGGATTTCGGCCGCGTTCCCGGACAGTGATACAACCACTAGTGCTACTTGTCGTTATAATAGTTGTTAATATTCAAGTTCAGTAATAGTTAAAATATTAGAATCAAGGTAAAAACGTTAGAACTCTTATATAAATAAGTATTTAAGTGGGGCCCCCATACAAGGGACATGATTTTTTGCCGTTTTTATAGATAATGGTACCGTACGCAACCCTTCGTGTGCGAGTCCGACTCGCACTTGGCCGGTTTTTACAAATTTTAATGATGTGGGGTTCATTCTTATATTCATTCATCGATGATGGAAGCTTAGGAACTATAGCGATCCTTATTGACAGTAGCGCACTAAACTTGACTAATCCGTACAATGTTGAACGACTTTAGTGATCGACAGACACGGATGAAAAAATTGTATGAAGGTATATATTAAAAAAATATAACGTAGAATATGTAAATATTATACTTAAGTAACTATTTCGTGTAAATGTATAAGTAAAATATACGTATTGCTCACGTTCGTTTTTTTTGTCGTTAGTTTATAAAATTGTTAGAATATAAAATTTAAAATTGGAAACAACAGTAAATCGAAAGTTATTACTACTTCCCTTAATAAATGTATATACAATTTATTTATCCAACATTTACAACACTAAACCTGTCTAAATTACATCAACAATCTAATAAACATAATCCACGCGGCATGGTGCCAAAAACGCTAGCTGCATTTTCTCGCTGAATAGTTATGCTTAACCTTTGAGCGATAAAAGAACCAGCTCTCTAGTCCCCAGCCGGCGTTAAGCCTAGAACGTAAACCTTTCAAAAATTTAGATGTAAGGGGACCCCACGGGCCCAAAGTTTCAACAGCGAATGGCACAAATACATAGTCTAAACAAACAGACACATATTCGCCACTTAGTTCAGCTGCTTCCGATGCCGCCCCGACCCTGGCCGAAGTACCCTTTAGAAGTGAGGCAGGTAAAGCGTTTACACAAGTAGCATCCCTAACGAGAGCTTTGCCTCTCTCCCTTAATATACATCAATGATAAAAGGCTACTGTTAACATTTGAGTGTGTAAAAGTTATGCTACTTTTTATGAGTCTCTCACAATATTTTGACGTGATAAGAATCACTTTAGTTATTTTTGCTTTAGACAGCCCCTATACTGTTGCCATGTTAGCTTATTACTCTGCTTTATTTATTAACCCGATAATGAAAACTCCGTGAATGCGTTGGAGAACCACGTCTGCCAATTTATTTCCACGAGTATTGTTACAGGTGACAAAGTCATTCGTTAGGAAAAATTATTTCGATACATACGTGACGCATTGACAACAGAAGCTACGAGTATCTTTTGCGATAACCGTTGGTAATTGTGGTTTGCAGAAGAACGATAATAAGTCTAAGATGTCTAAGATTCAGACAATTTGTAACGCCCGCAATATTAAAACTGTGGTAAGTACTGATTTCTCACACAAAGAGAGAAGAATGTTGCTATTTTGAGTTAGATAATGTGTAAGACTCCTTTCCGTTGTAGATTTAATGTCGTTTTGGTGTTTCATTGCAGCAGTAAATTTAAAACTCATAAAACCAGCGTCTTTAATGTTGAAACTTTTATCGAGTGTAAAACACATCGTTGATTTATATACGTACACAATGAGATCTTTAAATAGACATCTAATCAACACCGCCGGTGTTGAATTATCTTTGAAATTTTTAAATATCATCGCGTGCCGTTATAACAGTTTTACAGTAAGGATTAAGTATCTCGTAAATTTGTGCTATTACGAAGTGAATATTTGTAATTATAAACTTTTTTAAATGTTTCAATAGTAAAAAAAATCTGTGAATATTTTCAACATGTTCTATTCATTCATTTGTTCTCACCGCGCTTATGTTGATCAATAATATTAAAGTTTAGAAATAATTGCTACTGTAATAAATTTTCTGAATTAATATATATTTCATCTAACATTTCTATCGTATTTTTGTGATATAACTGTAGTTTTATTTCCATATTAAATTAAGAAAAATGAGAGGCAAATGCATAATCGTATATGATGTATGTATTTTGAAAGGAAAAGCTTATGTTTCAATTCAATTACACAAAAGCTATAAATGAAAAAGGCGTCAACTTTTTATAAACCTATGAATATAATATGCTTTTTGAAGTATTCTGGTGGTGTATAAATAAATATAAACAGAATAAAGTGAAAATGTAATACGAAAATGAGCGGCGAAAACAAGCGAACTGAGTCCTAAATAAATACGCACCTTTGTAAAATTACACAGCGCGGTAAAGAACAAATTGGTAGTTTCGGAACAAAATGTATGATTTGTACTTTTTTCAAATTATACAAAACATGCTAATAAGAAATGTCAATAAGAAAAGAAAACAATTTGTAAAATAAACAATAAATACGTAGTTAAGTTCTTTCCTCTTAGTTTATTGAATTACTGATGTGATTATTGTTTCGTCTTTTGAATTATTTTGTTCTGTATTCGTGTATCTGGTTTGTAGTATTTTGATGTCTGTATATATATATATATATATATATATATATATATATATATATATATATATATATATATATATATATATATATATAAAAATATTACTATTTTACATTTTAACTTATCAATAAGATACGAGTATGTCAATAGAGGTAATCGTTATAACATATTCAACTACTAAGGTTATTAAAACTTATTTTCACAGATTCGAACAGAAATCTCGACTAGTCAAGCCCTTTACAGAATTTACTTAAAGAAATTTAATATAGGAGAAATGTTGGTGCCATCTCTGCATTGTTAATATACATGCTGTATTAAAATAGCTTCATTATTATTGGAATACTAAAGTGAAATTTTCGCCAGGGAGCGTGAATTGGAAGGTAGGCGTAATTACGAATTTCAACTAACCTTTTACAGATGCATAGTTTTCGTTTTACCCTCTGGACCATTCCAGTACAATGTTTAATTAAACCGCTTAGCTTAAGCTTTAAATTTCGTTGTTTTCTTTAGTTTATTTTAGAGTTTTAACTATTTTATCGCACTTTTGCCCTCACATCATCACACATCTATAAATAATGAAATTGTTCTAAAGACACGATACAGTTCTCAATCCTTAATCCATATCGAGTAGGTAGGCTGTGCCAGTGTTGATCAGGTTTTATTAAATTTATTCAGTAAAAAATGTAACGAATGGTAATTACTCTTATATATCAGCATCACAGTTTGGTACTCAATAGTATTTGGACGCAAGAAACATTCGAAAATCCATTGGTTAACAGTGATTAGAACTCGCGACCTCAAAATAAACAGAATCGCGTTCAATACATTTCTTTGACGACTCTTTTGGAATGGGGAAGGTAGTCATTTGTTTCTTTACAAGTTCAAGTTCCTTTATATGTCTGAAGATGAATGAGGTAAACCTATCATTGCGACTATGAAAATGTAAGTAAAGTAACATTCGATACCCATATGTCCCACTGTTGGGTAAAGACCTCAGAAGAGGTATTAGCATAGTCCACCACGCGATCCCACCGATTTTTGCTGAGCGCGTGGTAAGTCAGCACTTAATATTGCAATTAGCAATTTCATTGTTGGCCCAGTACCGGGATTTGAACGCAGGTTGCTCGAGTATATTGAATTAAAAGCGAGCGCCTGAACGCTGAGCTATCACGACTCATGACAGGTCTTATGACTCGACAGAAAGTATAGTAAGTGTGCTTTGTATTATAATTGCATGTCTCCAGCCCCCCACCCCTCACCGGCACGACGTGCATGACGTCACGCTCCGTGCCGCATTGCCGCTTCGTCACCCAGCCGTGTACAGACGCGGCAAATAGGAAAATTGAACACGTCGCTAACAAGACTCTATTTATACGCCGCATTTATAAATAGTTGACCTACTATCATGATAGACCATTGTTAAGGAAATGCAAGACAGATCGTCATATTGTCAATTGGCATTCGAAATCGGAATAGAATTCTGAAAAATCAAGACGAAGCATTTACTTTCGAACAGCGTGTGTAATATAAAGTTTTGACAGCAATATTAGTGTTCTATCTATCTGTACTCGATTTGCCAAAAAAAAACTTTCAAGTCACATTTTTTTGACACATTGAGTTCTTTTAAATGAATTAAAATGTTTTACTTATACATTTTAATAGCTTAAATCAATAACGTTCTGGGATGTTCATGTATGATATGTATGCATCTGCAAGCGCTCTTGTGTTGAGATGTCCATGGGCGATGGTATTCACTTAACATCGGGTAAACCACCAGCTCACTTGGGAACTTTTCAGATAAAACAAAAAAAAAATAAGACAATTTTTTTATATTTCAAAGATGGTTCAGACTGAATGCTTTAATTAAAGTCTATGTATAATTATTTAAACATATAAGCGAGACTGATAAAAACAGTTGCTCTTGTTTTCTTCTGTTTTGTATATTTTTTTTTTACAAAACAGCAACTTTTGTATTCACTATCGAATTAAGCTTTCA